TCAAGAGAGCCAATATATCCCTCTTGTGTAGAGAAGCTTCAGGCTTGTAGGAAGGCAGATTCTGGTGGTGTTAATCTTTCCTATTTACAGAGCATGTAATAGTCTGGGTGTTACCTGCCACTTTTCATCATCACAAATGATGATCGTGCTAATCACAGGACCCAGGACCAGTCGGGCATCTCAGCCTGAGTCCTTAGGATATATGTTATACTTGCAGGTGTATGGTTAGGGTGTTTCACCTGGTACCAGAACACTGAGTTGTTGGCATAAGCCGGTGACTTTTGTCGAGCCTGTTTTAGGCTACCACCTCCTCCAAATATACTAATATCTCTTGACTGTACGAAAGATGTGCCGAGCAGACACTTTCTTCATCTCTTGACTGCTTTGTGTGTTGTGTGTATGGGTACATGTATCCAGCCATTCAACTGCAGTGCCAGTCTGGCTACCTGCCCTGCCTGCGTTCCAGTGGCTGTATCCTGCCATCACAGCGATGCGACGGTGTTTTGTACGACTGTGCTGATGGCTTTGATGCACAGTACTGCCCAGGCAAGGTCACACCAGCTCCAGGTAAGCACCAGCAGCAGCACTGATAGTAGTACCATGACTTCTATTACAAGCAAAATGTAGAGCTACTGTTGACCGCTATTCACTGCTGTATCTATTCTATTACTTTGCATGGCCATGTTGAGGCAGTCTTCGCATCAATTTCCTTTACACAATGCGTGTACTACAATGTATTCAAAACCAACGTCTGTGCCACGCACACCTACGCAAACGTATTAGGGGTGAAACGAGTACATCGAATACTCGAGCGCTCGCTCGAAAATCCGAAAGGAGTGAGTACTCGTTTCGCAAAATACTCTAAGTATCTTATGCACAGTGTACTGTATGCTTGTACATCAAGCACTTCTGTTACTCTGACCAGTACTGATAACCCATGCAAGCGTGAAATTATTGCTTGTCCCTACTTACCAACAAAAGACAGTAGTTCAGACTATTTCCTGCACTAGGCTGCATGCAAGGCTACATGTGTATCAGGTGTAGTACGTTCAGTGTTACGAGAGTGTGTGCAGTACATTGTTTTATGTTGTCAGTAAAATACTCGTACTCGCTCGTTTTTTCAAAGAGTACTCGAGTCCTCAATTTTGGCACTCGTTTCACCCCTAGGCCAAACATGCATGCACTGAATGCCTCTGCTCTGTGCACTCTGTACTTGTGCAGGTCAAACCGACTGCCAGGTCTTGTTACCACCGGCACTGGGCTCAATGACCGTAAACGGCTTGATGCTCAGCAACACGACCACGTTTGTGTGCACATCTCCCTATGTCCTTATGGGCTTGGCCGTGCGTACTTGTGAAATCAACGGCCAGTGGAGCGGTGTGCAGCCAACTTGCGTCCGTAAGTACATGTACCAATGCTCGACTGGCTTGTATTATGCATTCCCGTTCATCACACCGCTCATACTGTCAAATGCTGCCTCTTCTCATTCACAATGGCATGGGTCACAGTAGATAGGCCTGGTGCAGGTATTGCCAGTTCCTTGCTTGCTGCAGTACAGTATGACATATTAACTTAGCTGGTATGCAGTGCATGTGTGCATGGCAAGTGTCAATTTTGTCCATTGCTTCCCAACCCATGTGTAGTGACGACTGCTGCTCTGAGTGCGGCCAGTGACGAGCTAGTCAAGGACTTTGTCTCAGAACGCATGACACAAACGTGTAAGCCTAGTATTGCTTCATAATTAAGAGTTTTGCCAGAACAATTTCCTTGTGGCAATTTCTCCTACTGCTGACTGCTGAAAATGTTGTGTCCTTCACAACTAGTCTCTTTGTTCTAAGAAGTCTGCCTCTTTCATCGATTCGTGTTTGCCTAGCTGCGTCACGCTATTAGTAGCCTATTACCTGTTGTGCAATGGGGCTGGCCTAAAAGCTGCTCGCTCAACAGCGGTGTTGCATGGCATAGAGAGAGAGACGGCACGCCGCCTCGGTATATTCACGGATAGAGCTTTTAGTAGAAAGGAAAAGGACATATGGATACGAGTTAAGAGTAACTGTCCACCACTATATACTACAGTAAAAAAATGCAACAACTAGGCACAAAACTGACCTGAGACATTCGACGACCTGACTCCTAGCTTCAACACATCTCCGTAGCGCTAACCAACAGCCTTCCAACTTGGAAGGTTCAAGGTTAAAAGGAGAGACCAAAGAGGGGAAGGTAAGCGCAACGAAAATGAGCACAAGCTAGTAGTTGAAGCTACAGTCCCACATGAACAAGAAATGTTGATTGTTACTGGACGATGACGAAACCAGTATTACCTTTCCCTCTTTGGTCTCTCCAACACTACGGAGATGTGTTGAAGCCAGGAGTCAGGTCGTCAAATGTTTAGTGCCTAGTTGTTGCACTTTCTGACTGTATTTAGTATATAGTGACAGTTTAATACTCTACACTCATATCCATACGTCCTTTTCCTTTCTACATTAATTGTATTATTGCCATACTGGCTCAACATCCAAGTTTCAAAGAGCTTTTAGTGGACGACTTAATCCATTTTCGGCAATACTTACAATTATCCAATCAGTCATATTGTAGATCAGGCTATGCTGTGGGTAAGCGTACTCCTGGCCTTGTATGGCTTATTGTTTGCCAGCGAGTATTTAGCATATCTACTAGTATTCACTCGTTTGACAGCCAAAGAGTATTTGTGTGGGAGGCTGGGAGTCTCGCACCTGACTTGGTCACGTTGCGCCTGAACGTCACTAAGACGCAGCCATATATGGTGGAGTCGTCGCAGTTCCATCTACTGTCGACGAAACATGCCCGGTATTGGCTATTCCGGTACATAACAGCCCATGCCTGTAGCACTAAGCCTGTGTTCACTTTTGCCAAAGGGATCCACCTTACTCGGCCTTATTTAAATAAGAATACTCTGTCACGCTCTCAACTGTTATCAGGTTAGCTCCTGCTCCATGCCCATTGTTGGAGCGACAGTCCTGGGATCCAGAGTTGCAAGTGAGGTGGTGATACGGCAAGCAGACGGTGGCAAAGTATGGCTTAAAAGCTCTACATCTGGCAAGTGGCCGGTATACCACCCCAATGGACATCGGAACAGTACACGTAGAGTAGCATCTCTACGTGACAGGGTATGAGCGCAAGTGAGTTATTATGCTCTACTAATGTGCATTGATTCTGTGACTATAGTTGGTGCACAGATTTCATCACATGTGCCTTAGGCGGGATTTGCTATTGTCACTGGAAAATTCAGCCGTAACAAACAGTGTGATGGATGAATTTGACTCCAGGTATCTGCTTTTGGGAATGCCATGTATGCATGTCTGGCGTGCTGCTGCTGCTATAATGTTGTGGCAGCAGCATTTTGGTGCGATGGACTGTTCTTGTAACGTTGTACCTACCCATTTGCTATTGCCGGATGCCGTGTTTTGTCAGTTGTGCCTGTTTGAAGGTGCCAGACCAGCTTGTGTTGGTGCGATCCCGTTAAGTTGCCAGGGCACCATATTTGTAACGGCGTTCCCATTTTGCTGTTGTGGGGCTGTGTTTGTATCGGTGTGTTCCCGTTGAAGTTGACGGGGCACCACGTTAGTGGATTGTGCCTGTTTGAAGTTGCCAGGCCAATCCTGTAACGCACACCCGTTTGCTGATAATTGGGGACATGTTTGTCCATTTTGCTCGAGATTCACAGGGCTGCGCCGGTTGCCTTGTGCGGATTAGACTGTTATCTGGCACTAGTCTTGATCTGTTTTATCTGATTCAGATCAGCTATTGTTCCTATACGAGAAAATCTGTGGGTGCACATTCAATTCATTTGCTGATTTGCGTGCTTCTGCAACGGGCGTTTACATGGTACATGGTGTGTGGGCGTATGTGTGGTGTGTTCATGCTGTACAGGCCAGTATTGCCAAGCACTGGGGACGGACCTTTGGCAATCTGAAAAATGTTTTGTCCGAGAATCGATCCTTGGATCTGTGGCGTTGCAGTTGTGGTGCTCCCGAGCCTCTTGCGCGATGGCCGCGGAGACTTGGCGAAAAGGTTCGAGACATACGGCATCTCGATATCTTCCACCACAATCAGTACATCAGCACCACCATCGAGCGTAGCGACATCAGCAATAGAAGACGCACATGATATCATTCCCCCTTAGCGAAGACCCGGGAATACCTGAGAAGATCTTAGCCGCGACTTTACTGGAAAAGTCGTCAGTGACAACGGCACTCCATATTTTAGCTGCATGCAGTTAGGTCTCTCAACAAGTGTACCCAAAGTTTTCAAGCTAATACACAAGCAAATTCACTAGGGTCCGAGTATATTTTCCTACACCTCTCCCTGTTTGTTGTTGTTATTTCTGCATGCAAATTGTTTGTGTACCTGTACATTTATTACAGTAGAGCCACGCATCCACGGCTGTTGTTTCCAAGGGGTCAGGCTCGTCAGTTATACAAAACCTTTCAGCAATCTGGCCTTAGGCTTAGTTCCTTGACTTCTTGTACCACTTTCTTAGATGCACATCCCACTGGATAGTGAGCAATACGTGTGTAGCAGAATCTGTATTCCAGAAAAGCAGAGACTAGAGTCTATTGACACTACGTTTCTTTTTAAAACGTTATTGGCTGTGGTGTTCCTAGAGGTATACACGTACATTCCTGGGTCACGGTCTGTGACGCCCGACTGTATTCGTGGTGCATCAACAATTTTTAATTTTGTGCACTCGTGAAAACCTGCCTGAGGCTGTGAGGCTGCAGAGTGTTGACTGTGTTTTGCTTTAAAAAAACATCAGGTCTCCCCAGATTTTCTAGTCTGTCCCTGAATTTTGCCACTCTTCGGTTTCAAAATCTAGTGAAAGCCTAGCAGTGTTGTGTGCTAGCAGTGTTGTGTGTGCATGTGTGTATTTTGTACAGTGCTGGCTAGAGAAATCCAACCTCGTTAATAAAGTAGCGCCGCGTTGGAGAGCACAGACCGGCCCAGTATGTAAACTACTAGGGCTGCGTATTGCCCGGCGCAATTTTATTCATAAATTGGATTTCTTTGGCCAGCATTGTAGTTAGAAGTAGGTCCTCTAAGGTCCTCTGTTTGTGCGCAATTGTGGTCACAGTGGCAGTAGTGGGTGAGGGGTAGACTCAGTTACTACGAAGATGGTGTATACATGATGGTGTATACAGTCATGTAGTTGAATGTTACTTCGGGCTTAGATCCAGAGGTTCTTGCAATGATGACCCCGGGTTTATGTACATGTATCATTCAGCTACCGTTGTCATAATGGCAATAGTTGATAGAACACCTGTATAAGTACAGGCTGTTTATCTAGCATTTTCCAAAATAGCACTCCGTACTTCGAGGCTGCAGCCGTTTTGCATGCAACGTTGTACGTGTTGATCGGTTGACAGCATGTGACAAAGCCGAGGACACACTAGTGTATCAGGAGCACTGTTTTTTTACACAGTGCGTCCCCCGCCTTGTAACATGCTGTCAACCGATCAACATGTTAACTTATCAAACAAGGCTTACCTATACCAACATTATACATGTAGGGCTGTGCATGCTTTCAAAATTCTTCCTTGTTGAAGTAGAATATCGTGCTTGTGGGGGCTTTAGTAGTTCCTTTGCCAGATGTTCTATGCATATCTCAATGACTTATCAGTTTCAGCACTCGGGCAAGGCACATTCGGGCCTACACATGTAGCCTTGAATTCTGGCTTGGAGGCATGATTTATCTATTTTCATGGCTGCTAGGATCATCCTTAGTTGAGAGTTATTTCTCCGTGATTCGCTGATGAGTCCACAAAGGACGAAACAGCTAGACAGTACTAGTGCTGTCCCCAGATCGTGTATTCTAAATCCATAATACCGACGCTCAATCTCCGGACAGCTGTTTCAACCTTTTTAGGTCTCATCAGTGGAACTCAGGGAGGTTAAACAAATGGCAATACGGTCTATATGAAATGAACAAAAAAAAGCAATTTGAAAATGGCTCAAAGCATCAAAGTCAGCGAGCTATCTGCAAGACACGTACAAAGAGAGCTTTGCACGAAGGCAGATACATATTAAATATACCTTTGACACTAACCAAAAAGAGTGCTCAATCAAGTCAACGCAAGGCAGCGTAATGCGGTGATTGAGTCTATAAAAAGCTATAGTGACATGTAGCCAGGCCCCCAGCACAATAAGCTGACTTGCATCGTGCTAAAATCGTTCACACAAATCTCTTATAATAATTATTATGTAGATTGCAGGATAGGGTGGTTGCACCAGGAAGTGCTGTCTCTGCGATAGTGGGACCAGCCAAGATTGCAGTACAGTCGTCCACCATCAATCCAGCACTTCATTGGCCAACGCCCTCGATACACCAGCATGATTTCCGGAGTTATTACCATTCATCGACACATGTCCCCCCCCCCCCCAGTTCTTCGGCACCTGACCCGAGTTCTATTTGGGCCGCACTACTTTGTAGCAGTCATACTATAGTACTAGAACTGGATGCACGTGATATCCACTGGAATTGGCGCTGGCCATGAGCTGACCCACCGTCGTGCCTCCCAGTGTCAATTTTGCTTATGTGATCCTACCACAATCTGGAACATTATCAGTACTCGCCTCTGTTGACTTGCCAGCACTAGTTCTGGTGGATCCGGGCATGTTTCTGCCTTCTCTTCAGCATGTATTCTCCTGCAGGTGCATCTTTCACCTCCTTCTAATGCGCGAGCACATTTTCTGTGGAGATTCAACGACACATACACCAGAAAATACAGAACGGAACAGTGGCTGCCAATGCGACACAAGTACCACATAGACCTAAAAACTCATAAGCACCATGGGAGTTAGATGCATTTACGGGCAGTATGCCAGGATTTGCGCAGCTAATTTAAAATCAGATTAGCAATGCTGTGTGCTACCTAGGCAGCATCTTGGACTCAAAAACCAACCGATTGTGGTCCAACCCAACCGACAGCGTTGTCGGTGGGTTCCGATTGGCAGGTGTTGGATGGACGTATGATCCATGCGTCCCCACAAGCAATGAGAAGTTAACAATGCCACTAAGGATATAATATCGCGGACAGCAGTACAATGAAACTGGGCCATTCATTATCAGCAATATCAGGGGTATATCCCATCCGATAAGACGTACAGCTCGTGTATGGCGGATTTTACAGCAGGTCCCGACATAGCTTGCCCCGTGCCCTTTACTACTCCTGGGCCAAAACTGTTGTACAATATTCGAGAGGGTCTAGCCTAGTGAGTGTGAACAGAACCTGGCAAACCATATCTCCAAGTGATTCACATGTTGGTATATTCTCCGTTATCATACATCAATTTCGAGCAATTTGACACCCGAATATTCTCGCACCACTACTGCTGAAGTATTGACCACAAACCATGTTCCATTTGACTTACAAAAGGAACTTGCAAAAGGCATGAGAGCACTGGAATCTGTAAAGACTCTCGCATTATTACTAGCCACCGTACATACCTTTCGGGAAGTCGTGTTGGAAGCAGCATGCTCGGAGAGCAGAGCTGAGTGAGATCTGCATACAGTAACACAGCGACAATGAACCACATGAACAGAGGGAAGCAGTCGTATCCGTACACATCTGAATATGCGCTTATGGGAGGAAAATCCGTGCGACAAAAGAGGACCGTGTTATGCAGGTGTATGTCTTACCCGGGTACGTACTAAGTGAGTTCCACCATACGTATATAATTTTATTGCAATTGAATCACTTGACTGACTGGAGCCAAAAATATCAATTGGCACTTACTAGTACTCCGGTTACCCGAATGTTTCGGTACCACTATCATTAGGTTTTTTGCAATCGAACCAAGTCATAGTTGAGTCATTTTCAATGCGTTAGGTGTTACCTGACGTGCTCACTGCATCAGCCGCTATGTCAGATTCCACCAGGCATGCACCAAACCAGGCGCAATGCGCACACTGATGATGGTGGTTGGCACACAACGAGCAGTAGTAAAAGTGAAAGGACTTTTTGCATGTGATTTTGTTGTAATTTGTGCCAGTCGAATTGTCTCAGTGTAACTAGTTTATCGTTAGCTTACTAGTTTGTTTATACAAAAGAGAAAGACCAAGGAACTACAAGTTACGCTATACTGTCCACTAACACCGCCAGTTACTAAACAATCAGCTCATGCGATAGCTATTGCACGACACTGAACAGCTCTAGCACATCTTGGATGCGCACTCCAACAGCCTTGTGGACGACGACCGTCACTGGAGAATCGGTCCGTCGCTCCACCAGCCCGGCGGCACAGTGGACAGTGCCTTGGGGGTGTCAGCCATGGATCAGGCTGATAAGGACGTGGTGGAGACGGAAATGATGTTTATAAGGAAGAGTGATGATATGCGTATGTGCTCTTAATGTCAGGGTCGTGGGTTTGAGCCCACGTTGGGCGCCAAATGTCGTCTCGGTTGGAGAACGAGCTGCCTCTACTATACCCTCGCCACGCCACACATCAACGGACTAGTCAAGTGGTTTTTCTCTAGAGCTAGAGAGAGAGAGAGCTATTCATTTACTACACTTCAGGAGACGATGGGAGAACTGACAACTGACATGGCAAAAGGAAACATGATATCGGAAAGTGGTGCCCTCATCAGCACAAAAAGTGGCGTACTCGATATCATATCAGCACAAAAAGGTGCACGTGTCAGCAATACAACAAAGCAGCGCAGCAGCATGCACGGGTCAGCAGCACAGAGACACAAATACAGCAGCAGGTACGACAAAGAGACAACACGTGCAACCACATGTACAACATATGGGTGTGACAGTCCATATATGTATGTGTGAACACTACACACGATGAGAACATGCAAAGTATGGAGACCCAGACTGTGTGGTCAGCAGGACACAGCCCGTACAGGGTGGAACAGACAACTAAACGTAATAAAGCACCACGTACCGGCGGACTAGTCGACGCTGATGGGAGAAGTGGCACCCCCTGAGGCAGCTACGGATGCTAGAACTCTACAGCCAGACCAACACCAATATAAAACAAAAGGGTACACCACACCAGGAAGCAAGTCAAATAAAGATGTGTGAACAACGGCCACACACCACAGAAAAGCATACAGAACAAAAACTCAATTACCGACACCATAGACACTGCAAAATCCAAACAGGAGGAAAATACTAACTCCCTGAGGACACTGAGCATGAGGCAAACGAGCAAGCAACCTCTTGCCGATGTTCCACCGTGCAACAACAATTTGCCGGGCCGCACTGGCCACCGGACTGTATGGTAGGGGTATTACACCTGGACCTCAAGACCAACGGGCGAAGGACAGCAGGCCGGGCCCAGGTAAATACAATGAGGAGCACTGTACACAACTACAGAAATAACCCAAACCCATGCCAATCTGACCAACATACCTTCCCTGCGCATCCATTCCTAGTGTACGGGTCTGAAAGATGAAAGATGGAGCGCTTGTATACACGGACCCGGAAAGCCTGCTCCGGCCGCTCGGCAGAAGCTTCGTAGTGGTAGTCAAGGGTCGAAGACCGACGGATACGGATCAACTCCCCAGTGAACACACCTTTGCCCATACTACAG